CTTATGTTGTTGTAAGTATTAGTTATAAAAATCGTTATTTGTTATTTCAATAAGGATGTATTTTAATTCAATAGAAATAAAGGAAGAGTCCTATGTTTATATTTAAAGTTTTTTTTATCTTTAATTATTAAGTCTATAAGTGTCAAAATACAAACAAAAACCCTGTACCTACATTCCGCGACGCGACGTATTAATAACCCACCTTGTATATTAAACAAATTTATAAAAATTATGGCATCATCAAATATTAAGAAAATTATATTACTGGCTGTTTAAAATATCATTATGAATTTTATTTATTTGGGAATATATTTTCTACAGTATTTCAATACCGAAAAAAGAAAATAGTAGCTAATTCACGAAATTATGATATCGGAAATTTAAAACTGCCGCCCTATTCCAGTAGCGATCTGAGGCGATGCAATATTGTCTGTGGAAATACTCTGGAATAAAACCAAACGGTTGCTGCATCCAGAGATACATTAGTTCGGTCAAATTAGTCATAAAAGTAGTGGTCAAATAACAAAAATTCCGACAGAGCTAAATTTTGGTGGAGACGTTGGGTACACCATTAGAAATAAAGTATCAAAAGTCCCCACCGATCCCATGTGTGCTAAAAAAGTTATACGGGGTCAAAGGTTAAAATTTGAGGTTTTTTGGATTTTTTCGAAAAAGGTAAGTTTTATCAAAGAAGTAGTTCTGACAAAAATTATAGATCTTAAAATTATCTACAAAAATGGTCCTTATATTTTTTTTTCTAAGAACCACCATTCCTGAGATATCGCGATTCTAAAAGTTGAAGGAGTCACCTTCTACATGATATGCACATATATGCAACGTATATTCATAATCAGGCACTTAATGCAAGTAAAAATGCCTCTTTGTGTCTCTTATATGTATAAACTCTGAGAATATACACTCAAAAGAAACTCAGTCCCTTAGTCGAAATGATGCAGATGTCCTTATAATTGAAACAGCAATAGAACAAATTAATGCAACAAATACAACTATTGTAGTTGGTGAAAATGTTGACTTATTAATACTACTCACTGCAAGGACTCTAATTGATAAAATTATATACTTTTTAAAACCTGGAAAGGCTCAACAGCAAACAGAAATATATCCTTCAAAAAGTTTACTTATCCAAAATGCCAAAACCATATTTTATTTTTACATGCGATAACCGGCTGCGACACTACATCAGCAATGTTCAGAAGGGGTAAAACATCAGTATTAAAATTATTTGGAAAAAAAGATTTGATTGATTGCAGAAATTGATTCTTCACCTCAAACAATAATCCCAAAAGGAATTCACTTTCTCCTTGCTGTTAAGGAGCTCCAAAAATAATTGATTGTATAGATAAATATAGATATTTAACTTCTGTAAAAAATACACGAAACAAGAAACAAGCACAACTATCTTGTCTTCCTCCAACATCGGCTTCTGCTAATCAACACTTGTATCGAATATACTATCAAGTTCAGACATGGCTAGGCAATCAACTGAACCCAGAAGACTGGGGTTGGAAATTAACAGCTAATAGTTTGGAACCGATTCAAACTTTACTTCCACCTGCTCTGGAAAAACTCCTAAACACTATTTTTTGAAATTTCAAAAAAGGTTGTAGTGCTAAATGTGGCTGTGGAAGAGTAGGGTTACTGTGTTCTCCAGCGTGTACTAATTGCCAAAGCCAGTCTTGCTCAAATGTCCAGTTGAATACAACAGACGAAGATTCATGTGATTTCGATGAAGAGACAGCTGATTCATCTTCATTTGAACAATTTATTAACATCCAGCAAGAAGAAGAGGAAGAAGAAGAAGAAGAATTCGAAGAAGACATGACTGTTGAAGTCGACTTTGAAGAGTATGAATCAGATTAAAATATCAAAAGAAATCAGAACTACAGTTAAAGTCAATAACCAATATCAATATCAATAATCATCATACAGTTAAAAGAGTATTGTCCCTGAAAATTCCGTCATAACAGTTCGTGGAGTAGGCCTACCGGGGAAACCACATTAAAAAAACCGTCAAAGTACACTACCTCACAGGTGGTGTGAAAATGTGGGCATATCATGTAGAACGTGACTCCTTCAACTATTAGAACCGCGATATCTCAGGAATACAGGGTGATTCAGTCATATTGTCATTAATTTTAAGAGCAGATAGAGAAAAATGAGTATAACAGGATGGCGTGATAAAAAAAATTTCAATGCATATTTAAGCTGAAAAAAAATATTTTAAAATAATTATTTAACTACTTTTCAGGCTGTTACTGACTGGCTGCTGACTGACGTCAGCCGGCTACGATATGAACAAGGCGCCCTAGATGCAATGTTGCCATATTTATATATTTTCGCTCATATAAAGACAATAAATACACGGTTTGCTTACGTCAGCCAATAATAATTTAAAATGCTATACACTATTTTTTATAATTATGCAATCAACATATTAAATTGTCATTGTTGCCCAGCAAGAACCTCGACGAGGTTTGAGCTTGCCTTGCCAAAAATCAATTTTTATTAACATCATAGTGATAATTTTTTAATTTGCTGTAAGCCTTCTACTAAAAATTGAAAGTAACGCGGCCCATTCCAATGTTCAGGTAGAAAATGCGGCCCAATTAAACGATCGCCATATACTCCTGCCCATACATTGACACCGAATCTCCTCTGAAAGCTAAACCGACGAGTAATATGCGAATTTTCATCTGACCAAATGTGACTATTATGGCTGCAAAGAAATTAGCTCTGTTTCACTTTAAATAAAGTTTAATATTGAAGTTACAAAACTCCAAGAATTCAAATAATTTAAATTTCATTTTATAACCATTCCAATTTCATTACAGAAATAATGACATAAAAAACCAACACTCACTAGATAAATTATAAAGAAAGGGTGAAATGTATGTAGTATTTAAATATTAACTGTAAGTAATAGAAGATAAAAATACAATCGGAGGGAGACAAATAAACAACTCGGTACGTGTTTCCGACCTAGGCTAACCTGTGTCGAGGTCACTAACCTTCTAATTTGCACGTGCACTTTAGTCTAGGAGCCAGATAGGGTTCCGTTGCCAATCAGAGTGCCACGGCTGCAAACAACTTATTCTAAAGTATTTTGATCTCCTGAATCCAAAAAACTTGGTCGCAAAGCCTGAAAGTGGTCAGTTTATTTGTTATCAACAAATTAAATGTTTAAATGGCTGTAAAAAGTTTATTTTTATAGCTAGTACACGAAACCTGATCTGGCTCCTAGACTAATACGAACTTTAGTAGGATCATATTCCATGCAAAGTACAGTAAAAAAGTTGTCGGTCTTTTATCAAAGGAAAATCGTGTCATCAAATTGAATGTAATGAATAGGGATGATTGTTTTCCAATGTACGGTTATTACAATTTATCATTTTTAATATTATTAACGATTTCACGTTTTATAATTTATTATGTTAAAAAATACACAGTTTTAGTATTTCAATTTATTATTCAATATGCAGTTGCGTATAACCAAAGTTTACATAATAAATGTAAACTTTAGTGTAAATCTAAACTTTGGTGTAACCTAGGTAGGTACTTATTGTTTTTGAGAAAGCAATACTTATGTTTTTTACCTGTTTAAAATGCTAGCACGAGTAAAACAGCATTCATGCGTCCAGAGCACTTTGTTAATAAAGTTCTGCTGCACTTCGATTTAGGAACCAATTGCAAAATTCAAGACGATTGGGGAAATCAGCTGCTTCTAAAGCTTGAACTTTTTGAAAATGTGTTATGTTAACTCCTTTGCGGGAAAAATGCGGGAGATATGGAGGGTGGTAGATTTGAATAAACGCTTTAAATTGTTAGGTAATGGTTTTGTAACCGTGTGTAGTGTATTTTGTATATTCGGGTATATAGTCTGCCGACTTTTTTTATTTGATAAAATACGGTGTGCCTACAAATAGGTAACTACCTCTACTTTATTTATTTTCTTTCGAAGGAAGTTGACTTTAATACAAATATTAAATTTAGTTATAATAAAATGCAGCATGATCCTTTATTTACTTGCATTTTATTGGTTTCGTACATATGTATCCGTATACTAAAGCGGATTAATTAAATGTGAACCACAGATTATGATGTGAACTTGGCAACGCTGTTCGCTTCAGCTGACGATTTGTTCGTGACATTACTTACGTTACAAATTTTTCCGAGCATCCGGGCATCTCGCAGGGCCGCCCTCTTAGCGGGAGTTAGGGGTTGATTTCCTTCATTTTTAAAAGTCGAGTAAAAAATTTTTTTTCCGATTTTCTGTCTTTATTAAGCCTTTCGAATACGTGGTTAAAATTAATGACATTATGACTGAATCACCCTCTATATTAATTTCGAGTAATTTGAATGGCGCCACTTACATATTGCTTCTGTAATCTCGACCACAGTTGACAGGGGCCCGTTAGATGCCCCAGAAAAGCGTGATCGCCAGAAGAACAGGCCTTAGCCGGCGGCGGCGGGTCTCAGCTGGTGGGTCTCAGTCGGGACAGGAGGAATTAATTTCAACACTGTATAATCCTAATTAATCATTTATGAGTGATTTATTTTTGCACTTAATATTAGTTAATTAAAAACCAAGCCTGAGTTTTTATTTGACTTGATGATAGTTAAATTTAAATCATATTAGAGAAAAGGTCAACTCTAAATTGGTCTTATACTCAGAATAGAGTCAAAAGTCGCTCAAATGATAGTTAGCAGTAACTCGGATTTGAGTAAAACTCACTCATTTCTGATGCAACAGTTTCACTCAGTTGTACTCATACTAATATAGTGAAATTTTCGTTCAGTCGGGTGTGGACTGAAGCTGATTGAGTAAAATTGAGTAAAATTTAGTGAAATTTGAGTGAAATTTTTTTACAGTGTACAATAATTTCCGTGTATATCAACACATGTACCAATTGTACCAATTGTAATAACGTAATTTCGGAAGGTACCTACATAAACACACTTGTTAAAAAACAACTACTTAATTGCAGGATTCCAATGAATTTATTTTTTCAGTAACGGTTTTTTAATAAATTCGTTTATTTGTCATACATGTGTGGCTGCCGCGGGACCAAGTTAGGAGATGAAGACTCACAATTTTCTATATTAGCACAATTCCACATCACGTTGCGGCAATCTAATTTACCATCATAATGACAACATCCTTTCTTAATCTTTTTTCCATCTTGACCTAAAAAACAGTTACCTTTAGTTAAAATAGAATCAATGCACTTTTAGGCTAATCTATAGAGGTTTTGTTTGTGACAAAAATACTAGTAGTAAAGAAACTGTGCCATCATATAAAAGACAGTATGTAGATTTATAGTCCGGTCAAATTAGTCATAAAAATAGTGGTCAAATAACGAAAATTCCGACAGAGCTAAATTTTAGTGGAGGCCTTGGGTACACCATTAAAAATAAAGTGTCAAAAGTCCTTATCGATTCCATGTGTGGTAAAAAAATTATTCTGGGTCAAAGGTCAAAATTTGAGGTTTTTTGGATTTTTTTCGAAAACGGTAAGTTTTATCAAAAAAGTATTTCCGACAAAAAATATAGATGTTAAAATTATCTACAAAAATGGTCCTTACACTTTCTTTTCTAAGAACCACCGTTTTTGAGATATCGCGATTCTAAAAGTTGAAGGAGTAACGTTCTACATGATATGCACATATATGCCACGTATATACAAAGTCAGGCAACTTAATACAAGTAAAAATGCCTATTTGTGTCTCTCATATGTATAAACTATACTATTCTGAGAATATACACTCAAAAGAAATCGAGTCCCTTTTGATTTTAGCACACATGGGATCGATGGGAACTTTTGACATTCTAATGATGTACCCAAGGTCTCCAACAAAATTTAGCTCTGTCGGAAGTTTCGTTATTTGAAATGTCTATTTTAACCGGACTATTACAATTAAATAATTTTTTATAAACATTTTTATGCAAAAAACGCATTTTTATAAGTTTTTTGCTTATAAAACCTGAACTAATGTAGCAATCGAAATACGAATAAAACAAGAAGTCAATAATTAGTAACGAAGAAAATCCGGAAAAATCGGAAAATTTAGTGTTTTTTGCACAAAAGTAATGAATTATATACAGGGTTAGTCACTATAATCTGACAACTTATTGTGAGTTTATTATTGAAATTACAAAATAGTTTTTAATACAAAGGTTTTAGCTTTTTTATGAATTTTTATAATACAGTATTAGAAAAAACAATTCAATAATGGAAATAACCAAATTAAAGAAAAATTTTTTTTCTAATGGAACACCCTATATATTATTGCATACTTAGCTTCGTCTAATTTTTCTCTTTTCAAATATATATAATATTTTACTGTTCGATTCAGGACTTTCCGACATATTTCAGTTATAACTATTTTTGAAAAAACAGCACGGAAATTTATGTCTGACGGATCGCAGAGGCTATGGACGAGACATGCGGAACGAACAAATGACTTTGACAGAAGTTTATTTATCATCATCAATTTATTTCCAACAAAGAAATAATGTTTAGTGAGAACGAAAAATTTGAAGTTATCCATTTATTTTATGATAATAATAAAAATCATTCCTAACTTTAACAAGTCTTAACTTTAACAGAATTTTAATATCTAATTAATAAGAACCAACTAAAACACAAATGGTCACAGATGCTCAATGTGACCGCCATTATTATTTATGCACTTCGTATAATTCTCATTAATTTTCAGAACTGCATTTAGTATGAAATGGGAATTTAATTCACTTCAATCTTGTATACATTGATCAACTTTGTCTTAGTTCATCTAAGTTTACACTAGTTTCCTTATAAACCTCGATTTTAAGTAACTCCACAGAAAACTGTCAAAGGGTGTAAGGTCTGGGCTATTTGAAGGCCATTGAATATTTCCTCCATTACCAATCCACAAATCAAACCCATTATTTAAATAATTTCGTACTACTCTGGTTCTATGCAAAAGCATAAAATTTTTTCAAAATAGTTTAGGTCGCCATTTTTCAAGCGCAGCATTTCTCTGCAGTATTCTAATCGCTGAATTTTTTGATTTTGGGTGAGTTTTTGGACCAGCATAGTTTTATAGGGGCGGTATTTATATTTATGTAACGTTCTAATAATTTTACTTTGGCTTATTTCTAACTGTCTTGAAGCATTTACTGTGGGCTCTTGTGGCCTTTCTACAATAATTTAATATTTGAATTTACCATGGTGAACCTCGAATGAATATTTGCTTACCTTGAAAATATGGTAGTATAGTTTAAGTGTGAACAAAGCAAGCGCTGTCGAACCATTAGTTTTGGCACAGTTGCAATTTGAATTTAAAAAATATCATCTCCCAAATTTTATCACTCAATCTTTTATGCCAGTGAAATTATAGGAAAAAAAATAATATAAATATTTGAAACTTTTAACACCCTGTATTTCCGTAGGGAAGCGTCTTATCAAAACTTTTTATAGGGCAAAACTTGATTATTTTTATCGGTAGAATACACCATTAAAGTTTGTAAAAACTTGTCATTACAACCCTTTGTTAAAGCGTTTCGAAAATAAAGACATTTTTCTCGTTTAAATTTAAAAAGATTTTCTAATATTAAACACATGTTGAAGATGAAGTTTTCAAAAAGAATGTTACTGCGTGTAATGTTATGGATTTTTTCATAGCATTGGTAACACCAACAATACAAAAAAATATTTCAAATAAAAGTTGGACGAAATCAATTTCTTACCATTTTCTTCCTAGTACATTTTTAAAAAATTCAACATCCTGACCAAAAACGAAGACTTCAAGGGCAGACGTTTCTTATACGAGTATTTTGAAATGAAGTAAGTGCAAAAACGTTAATATCACCTTGTTTACCTTTAAGTTTATAAGTTATTTCATAGCAACGCGATTCTTCGCCGTCACATTCCTCTGTTTCTATTGATTCGTCGCCTTTGGAGCAAGCGGATTCTTCTTCTCCGTCGCATTTCTGACATTTTCGACCGCAGATCGCTATAAAGTGAAAATAATAACGAAACAATAAAAATATTCAACTCTAAAAACTTAATAAAAGCTTCTTACCTCTGTGAGAAATGACCGCTAATACGAACAGAAATACAAACACTGAGTTTTTCATGATTAATATTTCACTGTTTTTAAAAACAACAGCTCGACTTATATACCCTTCAAAATTGCACTTAATGACTGGGCTTTCAAGAAAGCATTAGTCTGTTATCGTAGTTAATTTGTTTTTTTAATGGTTTATTTTTTTCACAATTAGTGTCACGAAAATTCGAAACATAATTGTAACGTAACATTCCGGAAATATTATAAGATCATACGATGAAACTGAAACGTTTTTCCTACGAGAAATATTCAGCGCCTACTGAGATCCGTAAGTTTAAGCCATTTTACTGTAAACCATTACTAGTTTATTGATGTTGAATATTAAGTGACATTAAAGCTATAAACAAAATAAAGAGATCGTTGTGGCAGAAAATATATTGGTTCAAAACTTTCACAAGATGATACTTTTATGAGCACAGTAATAGATGCCAGTTTGTACAGTATAGAAGCTTTCAATCATATAAATTTCATTAAAGTTCAGGAGCTCCAAACGGGTCAATTTTTAACTTTCGAAATACTTAACTATAACGAGACTTAACTCGAGAAAATTCAAGAATGCACGCTCCTTGCAAAAAAAACAGTTGAAAGGATAATCAAAAAATTTCAACAAACATAAGTCTGAACAGAAAGAAAAGGTAACGAATATACGCAACTTAATATATTACTTTCTGTGCAAGAAAATCCAGATATATCCATAATAGTCCAGGCAGCCAAGGGTTCCCCTCCGAATTCTTTCGGATAGAACCGATTGACTGTAAGTATAAAGTAGCTTAAAAAACAAATGTTATATAGTGCAGATGAGCGCAAATAACCCCAGGAATTGATAAAGCAATCAAATTTAAGCAAAAAGTATATTATGAACATTTTTCGATAAGTCAATATTTTCTGAGTTATTGGTGATTGAAAATGTACATATTTTATTAAAAAAAAAAAAAAACGTTTTCAGTAGTTTTCTTCGGATAACTGGGAAAATAGACACTCTATGAAAAAAACATCACGAAGAAAATGAAGCTTATAGAAAAAGAAAGATATTTATTTATTTTTTGTTTATGTAGGTACAATAGGTGCTGAGATACGGCTAGTTGCAGATAATTTCAAGTCCGTCAGTAAGTAAATTGGAAGCACTTAATGTAAAATAACTAAAAAGAATTCTATTTTTCAAGAAAAGTACACAGAACATTTTGAAAATGCAAAAAAATCCTTAAACTGAACTTGACTTTAAGTCAGTAGCATAAAAATTAACAGAGTTATGATCAAAATAAAGCTAGCTGTTAATTTGCTTTTTCGGAAAAAAAATCAATACAAAAATAGATGAATTTTTCGCGAGATTTAAAATTAAAGGTAATCCTTCTACAATTTACATTTTTTATGTGCTAACAATATTGAAATGAACACACTGTATCTCAAGAAACGACACCGAGTAATAGCAGAGAGAATTTCATGAAATTATAATCTAGACTCTAAGAAAGACATAAATTACTTTTAAAGAAAAATAAAAATCTCCTTTCATAGTTATTTCATATAAAAACTAAAACATTATCAGTCAAAATTTAACTAATACATTGTAAACGAGAAGCATGTCAAGAAAATAAAGTTTAGGTTCGAAGTAGAAGCATGAAAGTAAAAGAAATATGCCACAAAAAGGGCCAATTTAACAATTTTACGAATAACTAAACGTTAAATAATCTAGTACAAAAGTAAATTCAAATATTATAGTATCAGAAAACACATAGGCTAGAAGTTTGTTATAAAAATTTATTGTAAATTAGTTTAAGATGTATAAAATTTACTCTGCAGTTATAAAATATAAATTACGCCGTAAGTTAATTAAAATAAAATTCATCGCAATATGTGGGAGAAATTGCGCAGTTAGAAAATAATATAATGGATACGAGTGACCAATTAAAAAGGGACAAACCAGAAAATTTACCTTGTACCGGAAAACAACAGAGTATCGTTGAAAAGTAAACAAGTGGAAAAGGGAGGTTGGTCGGAGACACTGGTGAGGGGTGCATGTTGTCCTGTGGCTCCCGAAAATAACATCAAAAACACCAGGAAGCAATCCACTCAGACCCAACAGCCATCTTCAATAAACGAGTACAGCTGACAAACCACAACTAATGTGAGGTTAGAGTGACGATCGAAAATTCAGATGCAGAACTAAATAAACGTAAGTCCAGTTACATAAGCATAAGCGTATTCTCCAAAAACATAGAGTAAAGTGTTGCAAATTTGAACTAAAGACAGTTTGTGAAATAGAAAACTTCAGTTCAAACCATAAACAATTTCAGTGGGTAAAAATTAAAAATGACATTTTTGAACATTTCCTAGTTTAAGGATTAGTTTAGTTTCGATGTTCGTAATATAAGTTAATTTGTTTCATAAAACTTTTAAAACATTAATAATTAGTTAACCAAATATTTTTCATATCATGTTAGATAGAGTTAAGGAATTTCTCCGATATTTAGTCATGTAAAAGTCTATAAAAAATCTAGTTTCTGTGTTTATCACCATATTGTTCGGAATTTAAAAATTAATACTTAATAAATATCATATTGTGAAAATAGTTAAAATTTTGCTTTTATTCAATGCTTCTTGCAAAAAATGGATAGTAAAGGTAAATTTACAATAACAGAACCGCTTCTCTGAGGTAAGATCTCATGCTATTAATTGAACAAGTGTTTTTGAGGGACAGTGTAGAAATTATCAATAAACATTCCTATCTACACTGTAAAAAATGAACCTACACTGTTAACATTATTCATGCAAGGTAAAGCTGCCGGAGCAGAATGTAGCAAAACAAAGGTAAGAAAGTACAATTCGTCTATATTTGTCATTGTTATTATTAAATTTTATTAAGAGAACCTACAGTCAATGAAAATTTTGATTTAAATACACACAAATAACATTCTACACAACAAAAGGCGCCCAAACGAATATTCAAAATTACACAAATAATATTTAATCATTACACACACACAAATACTTACACAAACAAAATACAAAATCAAAATCAAAATATAAAAATAAATATTATTATTATTATTATTATATAACACAGGCTGTGACAAATTCGCTTCTCACTACAGGGATCTCGGAAACGGTAAGAGGTACGAAGTAGCTTAAATGGGGCAGAATTGCGTAATCAGGTGACCAATATTATGCCTCTAAAAAATCAAGGCTAACGGGATTAGTTTTCGACATATTTAAAAAAAAAACATAATTTTGGAAGAATTCAGTTTTGTTTGAGGTGATATTGAAAAAAAGAAGAACACTTTCTCATTGCAACTTTTTGCCCTCTATCGAATGGCATAATCAATTTTTATATGCAACGTTTCGTCTCTCCAGGACCACCATCAACTTAATTTTTTTAAATACGACCCTGGAAATTTTATTACATTTTTTGCAAGCCTTCATGACCCCCAATACTCTACTGTCTCAGCCCGAACCAGATTCAGACGTTTTGTCTCGAAAAATTCATCTTCAGTGTATTCGTTTGAAATTTATCTAATTTTTTTATTTAGATTTCTTTGTTTATTTATTTATCAAGTGATCCCTGCAGAGAGAAGCGAATTTGTCACGTTTTGATTGAAACATTTTTTTTAATTCCAAAAAAAATAACATTTTTGAAAATAACTAAAAATAAAATAGAAAAATATTCAAGAATACAAAAGTTTAGATTTTTCTACAAATAATATATATTTTTTTATTTGTGTAGGATAAAAATTAACAGATATGTCGCTGCTAGAAGTTTTCAGTTGAGGGCAAAGGTCATGTTTTTCAAATCCTTTAACCACAAAAATCTTAAAAATAATGCGTTAAAAATATTTAATTTTACAGTACTTTTAGCTGTAGAAATTTTCCGTAAAATCGTTTTAGGATCGTTTTAAGAGCTTTAAAATTATGGAAGTTATCGTTAAAAAAATCGACGGTACCTTACCGCTTCAATTTTCGGAGCATATCAATACTTTGGTTATCCACAACTTTGGAGCATTCTATATACATAGAATACCTTCACCTTTTCCCTTTAATACTTCTACTTATCAATTTTAAATGTATAAAATTGTTTTTATTTGTATCATGAAGAGATGATTTTTAAGAAACCCAGTGATCTGATAATAAAAACCATTTTTTTATATTTTGTCATTGGGGGTGGTTTTTAAGGTTTAAAACAATGCGATAAATTATAAATTGTATTATAGACAAGTAAAAGAATTTTATTTATCCTGTGTGTACTATGAAATCATTTCAAACTGTTAAAAATTATTTTTTTAATATTTTGTTATTATGGGTAGTTTTTTAAGGGTAGAAATATTGCAATAAATTATTTATAATACCATAATCTATTGAAAAGATTTCTATCTATAATGTGCTCTATAAAAATATTTTAAGGTCAAAAAAACTATTAATTTTATACTTTTATCATTAAGGGTGGTTGTTAAGGGTTGAAACTTAATAAAAATAACGTAAATTATTACGCACAATATAAAACAATATTTATTAAGATGATGACATGATTTTAATCTGTATAACACCTATTTTTATATTTATTCAGATTTTTAGCAAAAGGGGTGGTTTTCATCCCCTAAAAATAAGAAGCGCATATCAAGCATATACAGGGTGTCCCGTAAAGTATGTTACAAACTTTGGGTGGTGATAGTACATAAAAAAATATGACTAAAAACTCTAATAAACATAACCTCTTAAACGCACCATTTTGAGTGACCTTCAAAGGTGCAACTATAAAAGTAGTTTTTATGACGTAACTCTTTGTTGGAAAAAGAAAACTTAATGAAATTTTCAGTGGCTAATCAGCTTTAGGAAATCAATAAATAATGCTGATATGAATAAAATCGAGAAAGCAGAAGGGTGTTTCTTTATCACCCTGTATCCTATTTCTTGCTAAAAAAATTTTTTCTGCAAAGGTACAGCAAGTATCATAAGATTTTTAGAAAGACCATTAAATTTAGAAATTTTTTTGTCTATTGTTTTTTTTATGTAAAATGTTTAGTTTTCTAGTAAATTTACAAAATGCAGAGAGATGAATGCTT